GGGTGACAGAAATACATTTGCAAAGCCACACCTATGACCCAAAAGAGAAGTAAAGCTCACCCAAAAAGTCTGGCTTTATTTCTCCCTAATGCTAGTGACCTAGTGACAGACTGCATCATACAGTATATGTCTTTTTTTTATCTCGCCCATAGTTACTTTAAGGACTTTTCAGGCTATTTAAACAAGCTCAGTAAGGTTGGCTGTAATGTTTTGACAGCTACAAGATGTGTTTCCATCACTTGCACATATTGGCCGTTTCTGAACTGCTTGAAGACAATGTCAAGAGGCTTTGGTAACAAAGGCAATTTATTTAATCACACTGGGACATTTAACACTCTTCGAAAATCTGAGCAGGCCCGATCTTATCCTTTGCTTTGGAGCATTAGAAAGGGTTGAAGTACCAATCTAGCACATGTGAGCACCTGTCTGTTTACATGCATGCAGATGTTGAGGCACCTATATAATCTGCTCCATCTGCCATTTCAAATACTTTTTTGACCCAAAACATGCAGCCTAAGTAAAGTAAACAATGTTGTTATCGATATGTGGATTTATTGCAAAGATGCTATACTTCCACTTTAAAGGGCTATTAAACCCTCAAATTTTTTTGCATATATCTATTGTTAGCAAGCAGTAGATATATGCAAAAACATAGGGAAAAAAACCCTTTCAAACAGGTTAAAACTTACCTGTGTCTTCGCCGCACGCTCCCGTCCGAGAGATGAGGAGAGACACAAGGTAAGTCTATGGACGGCGTACACCCGCATGCAGATGCCGTGGGACAGGAAGTGCCAGCAAGCACAGAGGAGTCCGTGCTGGATCGGAGGGACAGATGAAAACGACAGGAAAAGAAGATCGGATTAAGAGACATAATTTAAGGCAAGTGCTGACATTAATGAAATGTGTTTGCGATTTTACTTTTACATACAGAATAATGCAGAAATACCTAATAGAAAAAGAGATTTAGGACACAAAGTCCTCTATCTTTTTTTCTGTGTCCCCTGCTATCAATGAACAGGAATCTTCTATACTGAGTGTTCCTGTTCATTCATAACATGAGGACAGAGTGTGTTTACTATAACCACAATCATGAATGAACAGGAGACAGGAGGGGATGTAGATCACTTCCCATTCATTCATAATTGAGGATATAGTAACCATACTCTGTCCTCAATTATGTACAAACACTCAGCGATCACTGAGTGTGTGTGCCTTGCTCTCCTCTCTGACACGCTGTCACATGAGGCTGAGCGAGCGGTGCAGGGAGGAGAGCCCAGCCTCCTGTGACAGCGCGGCCTGTCTCCACCCACAAACCGCTCTGCCAGACTGTGATAGAAGGCTGAGCGTTGTGGGAGGAGACGCCGGCCGCTCACAGTGCTCTCCTCCCGCAGCGCTCAGCCGGCTATCACGGTTTCTCTCCTCCAAGCTGGGACACAGAGCGGCGCTCAGGGGGGAGGAGAGAAAGAATGGATGCGCCGATGTATCGGCAGGAAAATGCCACTTTCGGCATTATGCCAAAAGTGCAATTTTCCGCCAATATATCGGTGCATCCCTTTATATATATATATATATATACATACATTTATAGTAAATTAGGCACAACATACTAATGAGTTGCATTTCCTAGGTGCTATAAAACTAGCTGGGCATTTCCTGTCTTCTTCATTAGTAGATAAAGCTTTGGATCTCAGATTCCCCTCCATCACCATATCAATGAGAAGCAGCGTTTCCCTGTGATCCAGAGTGTGAGACATATTCTGTAGTTCAGCCAGGGAATGCTGGACAGCTCCTTAGCAGAGGCTCTGTATACCTGTACAGCCCCCATATCTTCTATCAATGAGTCTCTTTCACTTGGTTACAAACTGAAGATACATTTTGGTTACATTTGGTAACAAATATGCTAAAACTAAAAAAAGTCATTTGAATCCCATAGTATGCTGTAGGCATTACTAGCATGAATGAAAGATTTTTCATTTTTGCCTGTAAATCTGCTTATGGAGCATTTCCCACAGGGCTGAAGATTATTATACAGGATTTATACAGCGCCAACAGTTTGCGCAGCGCTTTACAATATAAGGAAGACATTACAATCACAATACAAATCAAGACAAGATGGTAAGGAGGGCCCTGAAAGTGAGAACTTGCAATCTGAATAAAGAGCAGACATCGTGTCCAATAAATAGCCGGCTCTATGATCCTGTCCAGCTTACTGGGTCCTACAAACGTAAGGTGAGGGTACAATATTGCCCTCGTGATGTTTGGCACACCGTTTCAGCAAAGGCACAGCCTGGCAAGGACCTGGTATAAAAGGCACAGCCTGGCAAGGACCTGGTATAAAAGGCACAGCCTGGCAAGGACCTGGTATAAATTGGCATGGGGTAAGGTAAGTACAGGCTCATTATCTAAGGTGATAGCTAAGTATCAGCTAATAGTTGGAGCTTTGGGGGGGTGTTAAGCCTGTTGGCAGGGCTTTAAGGGGTTAAGGTAAGGCACGGGGAGAGGGTTGAAGGTTATGTTTAGGATAATGGGGTTTAGTTTGAGGATTTTATTAAAGCTGAATTTCGGAAACAAAAACTTTAATTGAGATATATTTCTCAGTCCCTACAAAGGATACAAATGTATTTGAAGTTCACCAAATGTCTTTCCAAACGAACACTGACATGTGCTGTACACAGTATGTGCAGAGAACAGAGCTGTGGGAGGAGCCCAGCAGGCTTCACCCACAATAGGCTGCCTGCATAAAACTATAGGAGGAGGCGGAGACAAGACCAGTCACCCTGCACAAGGAGAGAGAGCAGCAGTGAGCGGTCTTTATCACAGGAAGCCCCTGGGCAAAGGATAAGTCTCACACTGGATTACCGCACAGATCTGGAAGAAATATACAATGCTCACCAAGATTCCAGGAAGAATACACATGGCTCTTGTATTTAAACAATATTTGTGTTCGGAGTCCACTTGCCATAAAAGCAAGACGTAACCAACATACTGACCTGTTGTGTGCCATGGTCCGGATGGACAGTAATGGCAATAAGGGGGCATACTCTGTGTGATGTTGAAAAAAGGGAACGGGTGGGAGGGTCATGCTGAAGCTCGCCGTGCCCAGGTTAGCCTGCCTGCGGGTTTTTAAGGTGAGCAGTGGGAGCAGACTCCTCCCACAAATACAGGCTAACTAGTTAGCCTTCAAACTTATATTACTCCAAGTAGATTAATTCAATGCAGAGTGCACACATGAGACTGGTTTTACAGCGCATACTCAACAACAGTATTGTATATACTTACACCTTGGAAAGAGCACATTAATGAATAGTTTATGAAAAGAACTGTACAGCCCTCTACCTGGGGTATAGTTATGTATACTACTGCAAAGGCAATAGAGCGCTGCACGCTCCTGCGCAGGCAATAGAGCGCTGCACGCTCCTGCGCAGACATTGGAGCACTGCACGCTCCTGCGCAGACATCGGAGCACTGCACGCTCCTGCCCAGACATCGGAGCACTCCACGCTCCTGCCCAGACATCGGAGCACTCCACGCTCCTTCGCAGACATCGGAGCACTGCGCGCTCCTGCCCAGACATCGGAGCACTGCACGCTCCTGCCCAGACATCGGAGCACTGCGCACTCCTGCACAGAGATTAGAGCACTGCACGCTCCTGTGCAGACATTGGAGCACTGCATGCTCTTGCACAGACATTAGAACGCTGCCCGCTCCTGCACAGAGATTAGAGCACTGTACGCTCCTGCGCTGACATTGGAGAACTGCGCGCTCCTGCGCAGACATTGGAGAACTGCACGCTCCTGCGCAGACATTGGAGAACTGCACGCTCCTGCGCAGACATTGGAGAACTGCACGCTCCTGCGCAGACATTGGAGAACTGCACGTTCCTGCGCAGACATTGGAGAACTGCACGCTCCTGCGCAGACATCGGAGAACTGCACGCTCCTGTGCAGACATCAGAGCACTGCACGCTCCTGTGCAGACATCAGAGCACTGCACGCTCCTGTGCAGACATGCACACTGTATTCTTCCATCTTCCAATATACTCTTGATAGTTGAACAGCATGCTGCCTTTGTACAGCAGCTCAGGTACTCCATGTTATCTCCCTCCAGGCAGCAAGGAGTGCACGCTCCTGTGCAGACATCAGAGCACTGCACGCTCCTGTGCAGACATCAGAGCACTGCACGCTCCTGTGCAGACATCAGAGCACTGCACGCTCCTGTGCAGACATCAGAGCACTGCACGCTCCTGTGCAGACATGCACACTGTATTCTTCCATCTTCCAATATACTCTTGATAGTTGAACAGCATGCTGCCTTTGTACAGCAGCTCAGGTACTCCATGTTATCTCCCTCCAGGCAGCAAGGAGCAGCCTTTCATTGTGTTGCAATCTTCTCTGAGCATCTTCCTGGTGGATGGACCTGTGAATCCTCTCGGTGGATGGCTCTGTGCACCCTCATATGGATGGCTCTGTGCATCCTTCCAGTGGATGGACATTGCACTGCATCCCTCCAGTGAATGGACCTTTGCATCCTCCCGGTGGATGGCTCTGTGCATCCCCAAGATAGATGGCTATGTGCATCCCCGGTGGATGCTTCTGTGCATTCCCCCGGTGGATGGCTCGGTGCCTCCTGACAGTGCTCGGCTCTCCCCAGGCCGGACACTCCAGACAGGAGGCTGGCTGCTCTCCACTTCCGCTCCGGTCACATGAGAAGCCGGGCTGCACACGAGCCATCCAGCGGCATGACTAAGAGGAGCAGCTGCTGCACTGAGCACTCCCAGGTCTGTACAAGGCGAGTGACTGAGGGGGGGGGGGCTCAGCCATCAGCACCGAGCACCTGCTACCCTGACACTGCCTGCCTCCCATCAGCACCGATCCTCCGCTTTCTGGGGCTTTGTGTGTCTGCAGCCCTGTGTTCCTGATCACGCCTGGGACCAGAGTGAGATCAGCCTAACCAGAGACAAGGGAAGGGGTGGGAGGAGGTGCTGAATGGAGAGACTGTGCTGATCATCAGTCAGGACTGTCATCACAATCCCTACAACTCAGGAGACAAAGGCTGCTGCTGGTCCAGTGTGAAGGAGATGGCATCCCTGAACCTGGGGTTGAGCCTGTCCAGGAAGAAGAACATCTCCAGGAATGCAGCAGTGGAAAGGAAGAACCTCATCACAGTATGCAGGTGAGCCGCTCTCCGGCTTCTTCTGGACCGGTGATGCAGTAACCCATGGCAACCAATCAGCATCCACCTGTCAGCATCTCAGTTCAGGCAGCTTAATGCTGCTTCGCCACTGATTGGTCGCTGCGCTTTCTAGCTGCTTTTATATCCACTTGGTTCTTCTAGGTTTGTATTGGTAAATAGAATGTGTCACCTGTGTGATAAGGCTGTGATGCAAGCTGCCTGTGCTGAACACAAGCTATACCTGGCACTGGCTATTTATACAATGTTTGGATCACATGAGCCAACGAATGGCTGCTTCTGTCAGAGACTTATCACGCAGGTCCCTTGAAGGAATGGGGCACACAACTTTGCACGGGCTTACCTCCAAAGCATCGGGAAGACATACAGTTTGCAGTCGCATATGGCAGTGAAGTTTCAGCATTTATAAGCCAGGAATGGTGACAGGTTGCTACGGGTTACAGCTGGGGAGGGCAGCCTCTGGCACTCCAGTTGTGCTGAAACTACAAATCCCATCATGATTGTGGCTTTGAGAGGTTTGCTGGGCAGCATGAGACTTGTAGTTCCACAATAGTTGGAGTGCCATGGTTGCCTCTATAGGTTTAACTCAATTGACTTTTGTCTTTTTTCAACCTGACTAACTATGTCTCTATGGAGTGCCAAGGTTACTTACCCACTTTTTTGCATCTGTCTTGTGTATTCTGGGTATACCTGGGGAGGACAGGGGGGCAGGACACATGATGAAAAGTCACTATGGGAATGGGGGTATCCTGTATATAATGGGTGATGACACGCCAACCCATATCACAAGGTGTATGGTGTTTGCATGTTTACAATGTGCTAACATGAGGTGCACTGCCAGCTCTGCAGTATAACACATATGAGATCTATGATTGCTATGATAACATGTGTGATCTGTAACATGGAGCTTACATGTAGTGGCTCAAAGTGTGCGGGGTATAGTCATACGGTTGCTGATTGGCTGCTATGCATTACTGCCGCACTTTTTGCATTTCGCCTTGTTCTTGCATCTTCATTATAGCTGTGAATTTTCTTTAGTATCCGACTATGGGATGTTGTAAAGTGAACCTGTCACACGTGAAATACTGAGGGTGCCTTGGCTGGCCTCCTGATAATGCTACTTCTCTGGTTGCAATACGTTGAGTCGCTGACACGTGTGCTGAAAGTTTGAGAAGATTCAGAAGTCCTTACTAGTACTTGTAGTACTTGATCCAGGTCAGTTATATAAAGTATTGAAGCCTGAAGATTGGCATGATGACAGGCAGGCAACCAGCATTTTCAGGATAGAGGAACAGTGTCTCTTCAAAGGTTAACTTTAATGCTGGTCATACACAGGACAATCTTCAATCTGAAAACACTGTTAATCAGGACTAATTATCTGTGTGTGTGTGTGTGTGTGTGTATGCATATCTATGTATGTATGTATGTATATATATATA